CAGTGTGCAGACCACATCTGCTAAGGCCTGGAGAGCCGTTCTTCAGTGGTTCATTTCTGCCACGTGGCACACTTGAGCCTGGAGTGGACATCACACTTTTTCAGCTGGAGTTTGGGCATTATGTTTTTCTTTTAAAGAGCTGGGTGGCACCCTGCTCTTCCTGGTTCTCTCAGAAGCGGACCTCTTTCTGAGAAGCTGCTTTCTTTTTCTTCCTCTCCATTTGTCCTGATTGGACAGCTTACTTTTTCTCTCAGGGAGGCTTAGCAAGAGAGTTGGCTGGTTCCTCCTTCTCTTGTGTTTTCCCTCTTTTGCATTGCACCATCATCTCTAAGTAGCTGACCTAGGACTGCTGCTTGCTTTGAGCAGAACTGAAACAAGCCTTTATGGGACATATTTGATTTAAGAAATAGAGAGGACCCTGTAAAGTGGGTGGATGTAATGCACTCCAAGTTAAGGTATGTGGACAACCCTGGGTTCTTCCATCATTTGTAATACCCATTTAAACTGAGTTTTTTTCTTTAAATTTCTTCCCAAATTTTCATTCTCGGGATCATTCTCATAGGCGTACAATTTTGCTTAATCATTCTCTCTTATAGAAATGCAGCAGTGCCCCGTTCTGAGTCATCTTGCTTTTCTGTGGAAAAGACCTTCAGATAGAATATGTCCTTTTTCTGGGTGATTTGAATCCACCTTCGAGTTGTTTTAGTGGAGGCATGATTGGCATTCTAGGGTGGACCGTTTTTGTCTGTAGGACTGTCTTTTGCAATGCAGGACTTCTAGCACGCAGGCCTCTGACAGCGCAGTAGTTCTCCACAGCTCTGGAGTATGTTGGGAAATCAGGATGGGGTGGTGTCTCAATGCCTGACGTCTAGTAGACAGCGCTCACGGTGGCTCTGGCGCCAGTGCATCATCCTGCCCGATTGCTGGGTACATCCTGTTGAGAAACACTCTCAAGGGGGCTGCTCAGCCTTCTCGAAGATCTTGCTCTTTGGTTAGTTTGCCTTGGTTTCTCTCACTTCTCCCTTATAATCACTTCTTTGTTGACTAGAATTATGCAAAGGAAGTTGCTTATTTGCTCCATCTTTGATGAGTTTACTTGACAGCAAAGTAAGTTGAGAGTTTAAGCCGTGGATTCCCTGAGCCCTCCAACTCTGTTCTTCTGTAGCTAGGCTGTATGTGGCATTCTTTCTCCAGATAACAGCAGTTTATTTTTATTTTAAAATTTAATTTTTGGGTTTTTTGGGGGGCCACACTCAGTAGTACCTAGTGAGTGTGCTTACTCCTCCTCATTGCTCAGGGATCACTCTTGGGGGTGTAGGGGGATCATATGGGGTTCCCAGGCTTGAATCTGGGTCAGTCACATGCAAGGAAGTGCCCTGCCTGCTGTACCATCTCTCTGACCTTTATTTATTTGCTACACCTGGTAGGCTCATGGGCCACTCCCTGCTTAGTGCTCAGAGGTTGTCCCTGGCTTGAGGGACCATGCAGTGCCAGGAATCAAACTTAAGCCTTCTTCAGGCAAAGCATTTGCTCCAGCCCTTTGAGCTAGCTGTCCAGCCCCACATCTCTTAGCTTTGTTCTTTTATCCTTTGTGTGTTGGGGGGGAGGGAGGTGGGGAGTGGATGGGTTGTCTGGCTCTGTTCAGGAGTGAGCCCTGGCAATGTGCAGGGAACCATGTCAGGGATTCAAAACAGGGTGGGGGCGACAGTCCCATGCAAGGCAGGTGTGTTCTATCATACAGTCTCCAGCCCTTATCTTTTGATATCAAGGTATCTATTTCCCTGCTTACAGTGCCCACTTGATCCTTCCTCCCCCACCACCCCAGCAGGATATAGTCTCTCGCTGCCATATTGTACTTGAATTCCACCTAATTATTTAATTGTAGTTCTTTGATGGTTTATTTTCTTGTATTTATTACCTGTACTTAGTATTTTTAGTGTGTGGGTTTCTGAAGCCATTGTGTATATTTACAGATTATTAAAATATTTTGTTTTCTCCTATGGATATTAAAAATACTGTGTTCTCTTTTGTGTATGTGTGTGTGTTTGGGGGGCAATGTGTGTGTGTGTGAGAGAGAGAGAGAGAGAGATGGGGGGGCTGCTCTTGGCAGCGCTCAGGGGACCCTATACATGCAGTGAGTTGACTGAAGTGGCCTTACCTCCTAAAATTACCTCTTTGCCCCTATTTCTTCTTTGTTCTTTGTCTGATTTCAGAGTTCTGTGTGGAATTTTCCCCCCTCTGTTTTTGGTATGAAACTTTTGGTTTGGGGGTTATGCCCAATGATGCCCAGGGCTTTCTACTACCTTTGTATTCAAGGCTCACACCTTGTGGTGCTCAGGGGACCATATATAGTGCTGGGGTGAAATCAGCATGCAAGGCAAGTGCCCTACCAACTATCTATCTCTCCATCCTTGGGATATATCATTTCTGATGATACCCTTGGGTAGGACTCAGTTCTTTTTTTTTTCTTGCTTTTTGGGGTCACACCTGGTGATGCACAGGGTTTACTTCTGACTCTGCACTTAGGAATTATCCTTGGCGGTGCTCAGGGGACCACATGGGATGCTGGGAATCGAACCTGGGTCAACCCACATGCAGGCAAACGCCCTACCCGCTGTGCTATTGCTCCAGCCCCAGAACTCAGTTCTTAAGGAATATATTTATTGTCCTTAACCAATAATTTTACTCTAATATCTTGAACCAGATACCAGAAAGTCAAAGTTCATGGAGAGCACTACTATTTGAGAGCCTTTCTTCCTTTCCCGAGTCCCAACATCCTGTCAGTCCAATTAAGCAAGTGTTTGGACACAGCCTTGAGCTGCTGAGTCGTGTTGATCCCTGTCCTTGTGCCTGCCCTCTGAAACTTCCTTTCTGTTTGGAAAAGGGCCGGAGTGGTTGTGTGGATGTGAATCCTCTCTCCTAAATCTGCAGTCTTCAGAATACCCGGGTTGTGTCTCTGACAAGGCCCTGGTATTAGCTGGAGGACCAATGAGAACTGACAGATTGGAGTGTTCTATCAGGTTCCATGTTGCCCACCTGCAAGCCCAGGAAAGGGGGCCAGGCACCCTCCTCCCACTTGAAGTGCCCTAACACTGCTTCCTTGCGGGTATTGTATGTTGACGAGAGGGGAGCTCACCTCTCAGTGGCAGTGGCTCTCCTCTTACTACAAACCCCCATTTTGGAATCCTGTGTACTTGCTGGACCAGAATTTTTGTGGTTGGGGCCCAGACCCAGAAAATGAGGCATTTTGGGTTGACAGCTATTAGCCTCTGTTGGAATAGACTTGGCAACCCTTCCTCTCCCCCCTTTTTTGGTGTCACACCTGGTGGTGTTCAGGGGTTACTTCAGGCTCTGCACTCAAATTACTTCTGGTGGTGCTTGGGGGATATGGGCTGCTGGGGATCGAACCCAAATTGGATGTGTGCAAGGCAAGTGACTCCCTGCTGTACTATTACTCTGACCCCTGAGCCCTCTTGATTGCTGTTGTGAACCAGTGAATGCCAGTAGTCCTTTCTGCATGGGTTGCTTGACTTACTGTTCTTTTTGTTTGGGGGCTACACCTGGCAGTGCTCAGGGACTACTTTTAGCCATTACTCAAGGGATCACTCCTGGCAGTGCTTGGAGGGATCCATGCAGTGCCAGGGATCAAACCCTGCCCTTGCCCCTGCAGTGATGCTCCTCTGGCCTGTGCTGTGCCAGGCACTTGCATATTCTCCAGTTGGGGACCTGTCACAGGCTCTTACTGGTCCTTTCCTTTGAGGTCAGTTCCTCCTGGCACCTCGTAAACTGCCAGCTGTGAGGGGAGTGTGGGATGCGGAGCATCTTTTGGGCTTTGTTTGGAGACTGCTCAGAGCCCCAGTGCCACTGTGAACAGAAGCATGCCCGAAGCTGAGGCTGCTGATTCTAGAGGCATTGTATGGATTGGACCAGCAAGGAGGTAGCTACCTGGGCTGGTGAGGAAGCTGTTCTGCTGACCCGGTAGAGGAAGCGTCACACTCAGAGGTGTGTTGCTCTGGTATTATGGAAGAAAAGGAATCCAAGGGATGCAGAGAAGTCTGTTGTGCTGTGGACAAGAGACTGAATTGGGATGTTTAGGCCTTGAGGGGGAAGCACATTCCTCAAGGTGTGTGAGAATTGAGATATGTCGGGGAACTTGGCAGTCAGGTGCCCAATAGGTGGTTTGATTTAGTACCTGCTACTGGCCATTGAACTGTCAGGGGAGTGGTGGGAAATAACAGGTCAACACAGAGGTGAAAAACAAGAGACAGACAGTTCTGTCCATCAGGCAATGTCCTGATGCAGTCACAGTGATTGTGCCTTTGGGTCAAGTGGGCTTCGGTGCATGACTGTGTAATAATAATTGCTCATACTTTAGAGGGGTTCTGTTGCTTACAGCATGGTTTCTTCTTCGTGGTCAACAGTTCTGAGTCTTACTATTCTGGCTTTCCGCTGAGGAAACTGGAGTTCAGGGAAGATTTTCTTTCCCTTCTTGTCCCAGGCTGGAGGATTGTTCTCTCTCCTATGTACTCCTGCCGAGATAATACTCCTTTGGAACTGTACCACGGTTTGTGTTTTTTACTTCTCCCCAGTTCCATTATCTTTATATCCTTGGTGTCACAGTCCCCAGCACATAACGCGTCTTGGTTGGAAGTTGTTAAATCTACTGCACCTTCTTGCACCCCTCACATGTGGATGCCCCTGCATAGCTGCTCTGTGTGGAGGGCCAAGGGAGTTTAAAAGGAGGCAGAGTAACTTTCCAAAGAAAAGGTACTGCAGCCATAGAGGCCGAGTTTCATGGGTTCACCAAGTGGGGGCTTGTCTGGGGCACGGGTAGAGGGGACTGCTACAACTCTGGGACTTTCCGCTGGACCAGATGTAGTCTAACACACTCTGAAACATTATTGGTAGTGTCACTTGGTTTAATTTGAGGGAGTCAGGAGGGATCTTAATATGTGGTGTTTTCCCTTATTTGACACCCTTTATGCTTTGTTAATCAACAGGAGCTTGAAGAAATCCGCAAATGTGGAATGAAAAACTTCCGTAACATCCAGGTTGATGAAGCTAATTTATTGACTTGGCAAGGGCTTATTGTTCCTGTGAGTATTGAACACTTCCACTTCTTATCAGATTATTCTTTAAGGTGATGTGTGTGCTGTTGGACTTTTCTCTCTGCTCCCTAGTGGCTCTTATCGTAGGCAGCCAGCAGACGCAGTGAGGTGGGCTGTTATCCTAGGGTAAAATGGAAGGGGCCTTAGCCTCGGGGTCCTGAGTAGTGTCCCATCTTCACTCTGGTTTTGTTACATTCTGGGGGCGAGGGGGGGGGCAAGCATTCTAAGGTCTGTGCTTCTCCACCCGGGAAAGGAGTGTGTGTCTGTGCTCCTGTTACTTAACGTCTCCCCCAGCTTCTTTCTGCCTGGTGGCCTCATTTGTCCAGATGGGCCATCTTTGATTTCTCTTGGGAGACGGCAAATGTTCCACCTAGCTCTTCTCTTTGCTTTCCTGCCTAGTTTTGCGTTTGTGTCGCTAACCCTCTGGCTCTCTGTGTTCTGGGCTTTACTAAACCTGGCTCCTTCCATTATGTGCCTCCCGTTGTCTCAGATCCCGTTGCCTAATGACCTACGTGTCCCCTCACCAGAATCTTTTCTTGGGCTTCTGCCTCCAGTGTCTCTCTCTCTTTTTCCCTCATGACTTCTGCCCGCACCTCGTGTCCTCAGTTTCTTTTTCAGCTGGTCTTGGGCCTCTTCCTCACAAAGCTTTCTTGTGGCCTCACTGTCCCCCTGATTTAACGTCTGCTCTTTTTCCGTTAGTTTGTCTTCTCAACCCTCTTGAAATTTGTCCTATGCGAGTGCGCTCCACTTCCCTGCCCTCCTGAAACAGCTCCACACCAAGCTCACTTTCTCCCCTCAGTTCTCACACGCTGGCGGGGCAGCCCTGGTGCCTCCTGAGCCGTTCGTTAGAGCCTGTGCGCTGCCCCCAACCCCAGTTCTTGAACTGCTGCCCTGCTGCTGCTTTCTCTTAACTCTGAGGCCTGCAGATCCTGTTACTCTTTGTTTTTCTCTCTGTTTTGTTTCTTGGAGATCCTGATTTTTCCAGAATCGTGGGTGGTTGTCACGTGTGGAAGGATTGCCACTTCTCCATTGGAGACTTCTCCCCAGTCACCCCTCTGTCCATAAGTTGAGCTCACTTGCATGAGTGTGCCTTTCATTCTCCCTGACTCACCTCTGGAATTTCTGTGGGTGTGTTCCCCTTTCTTCCTGTTCTTTCCTATTGACACACCGTCTGTTTTAACTGTGTTCTCCATTTGAGCCTTAGGCCTCTCCCCTTTGCCTGACCCTGCTCTCCACAATCCTTTCTCATGGGCACACTGGCCACTTTGCCAGAGTAGCATTTTTTCTGGGCACGCTCACTGTAAGTACTTCCTTCTTGATAAGTCATACTTTTGTTATTTATTTACTTATTTTTAACACATTGATTGGGCTGGAGCGATAGCACAGCGGTAGGGCGTTTGCCTTGCACGCAGCCAACATGGCCGACCCGAGTTCGATTCCTCCGCCCCTCTCGGAGAGCCTGGCAAGCTACCGAGAGTATCTCGCCCGCAGGGCAGAGCCTGGCAAGCTCCCCATGACGTATTCGATATGCCAAACACAGTAACAACAAAGTCTCCAATGGAGACGTTACTGGGCCCGCTCGAGCAAATCGATGATCAACGGGAGGGCCTTTACTTTACTACTTTACTAACACATTGATGCTGGCATGTTCCACCAGTGACTCATGCTGGAATGCGGTTTAAGTAACACAAATTGTGTGACAGCATCAACAGGTTAACTTGGAAATATGAACAGCAAGCAGTAATTTGTAGTTCATTTTCATAGTCATTTGAGTAATTAAAATGTACTTTGTAGCTTGTCAGTACTCACTGAAAAAGTTTTCAAATCTGGATGAGTCCAGTTTAATTTTGAATATGAAAATCATCTTTAGATTTCTTTGGGCTCAGGTCACAGGTATGATGGTGAAATTCCTGATCCCGAAATGTTACTGGTGGTCTCAGCCCTTGTCTGCCTCTGTCGTAGGACTTTTAGGTGCCTGGTGGAAGGATGGCCAGTATTATCTGACCACCCCCTTTTCTAACCGAGATTTTGTAGTGAACAGTTTTCTCTGCAGATCTTTTGGGGGAAATACTAAGGGAAAAAAGGTATGTTTTAATTTAATTTTTCCTATTCTCAGTGGTGCTCAATGGACCATTCAGTGCCTGGAAGTGAACCCAGGTCTCTCACATGTAAAGCACATCTCCAGCCCTTTTAGCCATTGCTCCAGACCAATAAGTGGTATAGGTTTTTTGCTTTTGTTTTGTTTTGGATCCATACCTGGTTGTACTCAGGGCTTATGGCAGGCTTGGGAACCCATATGGGGTGTCAGGATTGAACCCAGGTTGGCCGGGTGCAAGGCAGGCACCCTGTCCACTGTATGATCTCTCCGACCCTGAGTGGTACAGTTTTGTTGCATTCTGTTTTGTGAGCTCCTCGGCCTGGGAGACTGCAGCCTGCAGATGTCTGTCGGGCAGGCTGTGCTTCAGCACGCACCGTAGCCTCACTCTAGTTTCAGGTTGGAGATCACGGCCTGGCTAAGGGGGAGTCTGCTGGAATCCCAGTGCACTTGGGCTGAGGCTCTCCCTGGTGGTTGTCCAGGCCAAAGCTTCGCCTTCCATTGGGGCTGGTTTCACATAAAGATTTCTTACCCAAATTCACCTGGTATCCACCACAGGGCCAGGTTGTTGCAGGTGTGACAACCCTGAAGCCTGCCTTTTCAACAGAACCGTTCCTCAGGGAGCCGCTTTGTAACTGCCCTGACTAGTTCAGAGAGCGCCTCCCAGAGGCACTTCCTAGAGACAGACACTTGATTAGCCATGGCAGTTCTGGTTTATTCACTTAATCGTTCTTATATATAAAATTATTTTCATTTAAAATTCAGATATGGGGGCTGGAGCAATAGCACAGTGGGTAGGGTGTTTGCCTTGCATGTGGCCGACCCGGGTTGATTCCCAGCATCCCATATGGTTCCCCGAGCACCGCCAGGAGTAATTCCTGAGTACAAAACCAGGAGTAACCCCTGTGCATCACCAGGTGTGACCCAAAAAGCAAAAAATAAATAAATAAAAATAAAATTCAGATATGAAAGGGTTCGCAATAGTATAGTGGGTAGGGTGTTTGCACATGACAGACATGGGTTCGATCCCTGGCATCCCCATATGGTCCCCTGAACACTGCTGAGTGTGACCAAAAAAATCTCCCCTTCTCCCCCAAAAATACCCTATAAATCTAGTTCAGATATGAAGTCCCAGGAAGAGATTATTATCCATGATCCTGCTTTGAAGAAATTGTGAGTAAGAGTTGGGACACTTTCCCTTCAGGAACTGGGGAGATGGTAGTGAGCCTTCTTGAAGCTTTTTGATCCATGAATCTGTTCACTGAACTTGTAGTAGATTCTTCCTAACCTTTTGTGCATACAGTTCTTAGTGGAATTCTGATTAATTTCCTAATTGTTCACTTTATTTTTCCCCCTTCCTCTCTCTGTCATAGACTGAAACTAGGGCCCCAGGTGCAAGGCAAGTGTTTTACCACTGAGCTGCATTCCTGGCCCAGTTATCATCCCTTTAAAAAATTCCTAAAATTTTTATTCTTTTTTGGGGGTGAAGAGGTGGTCACAACCAGCAATGCTCAGAAGTTACTCCTGGCTCTGCCCTCAAGAATTGCTCCTGGGGGCTGGAGAGATAGCACAGCGGGTAGGGCGTTTGCCTTGCGGCCAACCCGGGTTCGATTCCCAGCATCCCATATGGTCCCCTGAGCACTGCCGAAGTAACTCCTGAGTGCAGAGCCATGAGTAACCCCTGTGCATCGCCAGGTGTGACCCAAAAAGCAAAAAAAAGAAAGGAATTGCTCCTGGCGGTGCTCGGGGGAACATACGGGATGCTGGGAATCGCTCGAGTCCCTGAACCATTCCTTTAATTTTGGCCATTTGGATTATTGTTGATTTCCCCCTTCTTTTTTTTTGTCAGGGGCCACACCAGCAGTGCGCCGATCTAACTTCTGGCTCTGTGCTCCGAGTTCACTCCTGGTTAGTGACCAGGAGCGTCGTACATGGTCCTGAGTGTCAAACCTGGATTAGTTGCCTGCAAGGCCTGACCCTTATCCACTGTACTATCTCTCTGACCTGTGTTTTTTCCATTAAAAAAAATAATTATCAGTGAACATCTTTATGAGAAAAGTTTTAGTGTGCATTTCTGTTTTAGATTCTGATCGTAAAATGTGGTATTCATATATATATGCGCTAGGATCAAGGTTCTCTTGTACATAAGAAAAGGACCATTCAGAATTGTCTCTCTAAATTAAATTATCTATCGGATGTTTGTGCCGATATTTACTCCTGGCACTGTCTACACAAGTTGGCCTCTTCCCTCGCTTGTTATTTGCAGTCATGGATCAGGTGGGCATTATTATTTATGTATTTTGGGCCTTGCCCACCAATACTCGGGGACTATTTCTGACTCTGCTCAGGAGTGACCCCTCACAGTTCTTGGGGTACCATATCTGGTGACAGGTTTGGACCTTGGATTGATCACATATAAGGCAAATGCCTTACCTACTATACTTGATCTCTCTAGGACCTCATCTGTAAGGGAAGATATCTACTGGTTGGGGTTTTGTTTTGTTTAGTTTTGTTTTGGGGCCACACCCAGCGATGCTCAGGGATTATTCCTGGCTCTGCACTCAGGGATTAATCCTGGCCAGGTTCAGGGGACCATACGGTATGCTGGGGATCAAGATACCTTTTTGTCTCTCCAGCCCTCTACTATTCTTTTTGTTGTTGTTTGTTCGTTTTGGGTTTTTTTGAGGGGAGGAGGTCACACCTGGTGCTTAGGCCCGGCACTCAGGGAGCATTACTGTCAGGGCTTGGGGTCGGTATGGGATGTCATTGATCAAGTCTTGGCTGGCTACATGCATGGCAAGTGCTCTTATCTGCTACTCTTGTTCTGGCCCTAGGAAGATTGTCTGCTGTTAAGCCACATCCCAGCCTTGCAGTCTTTTTTATTTTATTTTAT